TCTGCAGCTCCCATTCATGAGGGACCTCACGAAGTCAGATCTCGGGGCTCTCAGGGTCTACTGAACTTTGATTTCTAACTGATGATCCTGAGTTGGGGTCTGCGGAAAGCCCAGTCCTGGCCTCCAAGGAGACCATACCACAGGGACTCTCAGCGATGGAGCCATTGAGGGTGACAAAGCCAGCTAGGCGTTTGCATTTTGTTTTGTGTTCGCATCAATATTGGGATGATACGTGTAAGCATTCATGTGCAAGACAGCAGCCTATAACTTTTAAAAATGATCACCATCTTGCAAACGGCTGAAGGGACCTTTAAGAGTCAATGTCTGCGATCTCAGATGACCCTACAAGGCCACACACCTATTTTTCCCACTACTTGGTCTTCCAGGGACCCACATCAGCTCACACATGTGGGTAGAGAAGATGTGGACATTTAGGAAGAAAGTTAGGAAAAAGGGGATTTTCCGTTTGTCCAGTGGAAGGGCCTGTAGCTCCTCACAGAATTTAGGAAGTAACCGAGATGCCGCTCAATGTCCTCTCACGGAGCAACACCAAACGTTTCAAATCGCAGCAGTTATAAACAGAACACCCGACACGTGACATCCCCTGGCCCCGTCCCGCAGCCCCCACCCCAACGCCATGACCCCAGCCGGGGTCCTTCCCTGCTCCCCTTTTGCACACTGCAGCTCACACCGAACAAGCACTTTGACCCCCTATGAGGCCAGGAGTCCAAAAGTTACCCAAGGGGAGGGAGGGAGGGAGGGAGGGCGGGCTAGAAGGCACGCACAACCACAGACACCAGCCTTCCCTCAGGGCCGAGCAGCTGACAGGGCTCCTGTCCACTTGCACCCCTCATCCCCGGAGACTCCGGCGGGGGCAGCTAGGTTGCTGGCACTGAGCCGAGGAAGGCCGAGCCCCGGTTCCTCCCTGCGGACCGACCTGGGTGGGGCCACACAGGAGGCGGCCTGCAGCGCCAGCGGTGCCTGTGCTCTGCTGGTGGGCTCCTCGCTGCCCCGAGGCTGGGCCTTTCCAGGCGGGGGCAAGGGACAGGGAGGTGGGGGTCAGGGGCTCCCCGCCTTGCTGGGAGGGAACCCCAAGGTCCCTTCTGCTTAGAAAGCCCAGCAGAAAGCAGCATAGGAATGGCATCCCAGAGAGGAAGAAAGGCAGGAGGAGGTGGCCACTCGGCCACAACCAAGTCCTGCGGGGCAGGCCTGAAGGGATGGAGACGACTCCTAAGCACGGCATGTCACCAAGGACGCACCCTCCGGGGTCCTCTTCCTCTCGCCCTGGGCAGTCCCAGCTGCTCTTCCACCTTCTCCCTGTTGAGGCCGCTGCCACTGCCCAGTGGTCAAAGCCACCCTCACTCTCCCCTCCTGTCCTCCGTGTCGCTGTCTCCCCCACACAGGCCGTGTCCACCCAGTGAGGCTAATGATGACCTGGCAGCAGGCACAGACCCTGGCATTAATCTCCTGGGGATGCTTCTTCCTTCTCTCAGCTCTGCTTCCTTCCTGCCTGGGGCGAAGCTGACCAGGGTGCTAGAAGGGAGGATCAGTGTGCTGGCCTGCTGGGGAGACGAACGGCTTCCCACTTGCACAAGAGCCGGGCACTCAGATGGCAGGGCAGTTCGTCTTACTAGAGCTGCCCTGGTGGAGCCAATTCATGTCCCTGGAGCCATCTGGTAACTGAAAACTCAGCACCGGCATGTCCCAAGGAAGTAAATTAGATAACGCTCCACCGGTCACACCAGCATGGAGATGGCTGCGGGCCTAACAGCAAGCAGTTAGAGCTGGCTCTCACAAAAGCGTGGACTTGGTTCCAATTTAAGTACCATTGTTCAAGGTTTTGTTTTGTCTAGCATAAAAAACCTTCCAAGGGGCTGGTGAGATGGCTCAGTGATCTAATGCACCTACTTAGAGCAAGCTTAGCAAAGCACAGAGACTGCAGTTCAATCCCCCAGCACCACATGCCAGCCAGCCCCACCCATGGTGGGCTGAGCTGGCCACACACACACACACACACACACACATAAATAAATAAATAAAAATTTTAAAAAACCTTCCAAATCTTATGAAATATGCATATATATATATACGTCAAATCCCCAAAACATGAGGTATATAAATTCAAATTAGTACTCAGGGAACTTCCCCCAAGCACACAGTTCAAAGAACCAACTTTCAAAGGAGAAAATGGGGTTTCCTTCCTGATCCCCCCGCCTCGTCCCCTGACCCCCATCCCTTCCGTAATGGGAGCCAAAGGGGAGAGGAAATTGGGAGGAGACAGACAGGGTCTTGGGACACAACCCAGACGCAGGGTGGCGCAGACCACAGTCTGCCCAACCCCGCGAGGAATGTGCTGAAGAGGCCTCGCCATGCTCAGGTCAGTCTGCCATAGAGGACGGGAGGAGAGGCCCAGCACCACCCCCAGACCCGCGAGCAGCACAGGAGCCTGCATGGGAACAAGACGAGACAGCAGAAAGCGCTCCTCCAACCCCGAAGAACACTCAGCGAAGGACCAGTCCGGCTCGGACCTCAGCGCATCTCCCAAGCGCAGTCCTGTCTCCCTCAGGATCCAGCTGTATGCTGGCACGGGTCAGCGAGGGATGAGGGGGGTCCAGGGACCACTCAGACTGCTCGGCCCCGCAGAACGGGAGCTTGGGGTCTCACAAAAGGGAGGTGCGACATCGCAGGGCCCTCCCCGCCCCAGCCCAGGGAGGGGCACACATCCACACACACACATGCAGGACACAGGCGGTGCAGAGCCTGGCGCGGGCTCCGCTCACAGTGACTACATGAAACCCTGGGCTCTGGGAGCTGGTCTGGGAGGCACCGGGAGGCTGCGGGCTCCTCTCCCTGAGGACAGCGTGGATGTTCAGTGGGTCGCTCGCTCTGGTGTGCGCAGAGGGGCTGCAGACAGCATCAAGGGATGCCATCCCATGGGGAGCCCAGGCCCGCCCACCACCCACAGGACAGCGCCAGCTGCCTCTTTGGACAGTTCCAGGACTGATGTGGTGGGGAGAGTGCAGAGAAGCCCCGGCTGCGATGGGGGCCGCAGCAGCCTCGGGCCCTTGCAGCCTGACAGTAGGCACCGGACTCCTGGTGTCACGTCAGCACAGTAACCCCCGCACCCCCCACCCCAGCCTCGCACAGTGACAGCTCTCCTCCTCCAGTGGCGGAGAGAAAAGAGGAAGCTCCGCTCCTGACGCAGAGTGGAAGCAGCCAGCAGCAGGCTGAGGCAGGGAACCTGGCTTCACAAGCCAGGCTATGGAGTGGCAACACTGCTCGTACCCAAGTGTGACAGCCACACCCCTACTGGGCACGGGAGGGACGGGGGTTATGATCCACCCAGCACCGAAAACTGCACGGGAGCAGACAGAGGAAGACCCTCGTCCGGGTCCCCGTGTTGGTTGAGGTTGAGGAATGACACGGTGGACCTCGCGTGCTCCCCACCCCTCTCACGGTGGGCCAGGACAAGAGAGGAGGGCGTGCACCCACTTCCACCGTGACTGCCCTCCCAGCCCTGCAGCCCCTCGTCCCCATCCCGACCTCCAAGCCCCTCCCGCCTCAGTCTTTGTCCTGGGCAGTGCTGTCCTCAGAGATGCCCTGGGCAGCCAGCTCTGCCAGCACGTTATCCAGGTAATTGGCATCTGGGTAGCCGTGGCCAGTGAGGTTAGAGCCGAACTCCGTCTTGTGGTGCACCTCGTTCCAGATGACGGTATCAGACTCGCCTGTGGTGCTGGAGGTGCCGATGGCGAAGATGAGGCGGCGGTCCCAGGCCACGAGCAGCAGCTTCAGCACCTGGGGAAGGCAGGGGAAGGCGGAGCTGCAGGGCGCCTGTGGGTGGCGCCTGGGCACTCCGCCCTGTCCCAGGCCATTTCGCTCCTATCTGCCCTTCTGGTCCTGCCCACATTCCAGCCAGGGGTACTGCAGGAGCTGCTATTGTCCCTATTTTCCAGGTGAGAAAACTGAGGTCGGGGTGGTGAGTGGGGATTTCAGAAAGCCCTGTGTCCAAGTCTTACAAAATCTTGGTTGCACAAGTCCGATGCCTAATGTTCTATTTGCTGCCTTGGTCACAGCAGTGTGGGGCATGAAGAAGGTGCCTGTTGAAAATGTCACCTTTTCTGGATGGAACTGCTGCAGATGAGCCTGGGGGAGGGGCTGGGGAATCCTGATGGCACTAAACTTCCACGTGTGAGCGACTCTTTCCTGAACAATGACTAAGTGCCAAGCAGGGAGCCCTGCAACAGTCTGAGCTCAGGGACAGGCTGGGTGTATCGCCTTTTTGCAAACGAAGATAGAGAGGTACAAGACAAGGTACAAGACTTGTCCTGCTCCTAGGCCTGGGGCAGTAGGGGCGGGGGCGGGGGCAGCAGCCACGTCAGGGCTGCCTGAGACCACAGCCACGGCCTGCCTGAGTCTACAGCCGTGGCCTGCAGCCCACTCAGATCCGAGTCGGCACAGCTTTAAAGGGCGGGGCCACTTCTGAGCTGGGTCTGGGGAGGCTCTCAGGGGTCTCGGTAGGGAAGGACGCCGAGACACAGTCAGTAGACACGCACCCAAGGCAGCGACTGCGACGGCAGCCGCTGCGGCCACACTGCGTTCTACAGATGCTACTTGTGCTTCATTCCTACAACGCCTGTCTACACATGACTTCCATCCACTTCAGACTCAGAAACAAGGCTAAGAGCATGAAGCTTTGTTCTGGCTTCCACAGCTAATTAATGGTACGACTAGGACTTGGAACCAGGCTCCGCAGGCTGCGAGGCCAGACTCTCATCTGCTGCCACTCTGCAGAGAAGCCCAGGACTTGGGTCCCTGACCCTTGCAGGTGGGAAGGACAGGGCGGGGCTGAGCAGAGAGCAAGGCCGAACCTCGCACCGCTGCAGGTATTTCTGCGGTAAGCTGAGAAGACTGGGGAGAAGAAAAACAAAGGGAAAGCCACCGAAGCAACTTGGGTGACTTTAAATTTTACTTCTCCTAAACCAAGGAGTTTGGCGTGCGAGACCCAGGCATCAGACCCAGGGCAGGTAACAGAGGAAGAGGCACCAACATGGCCAGTGGTGCAGGACGACGAAGCGGAGGCAGCGTGGGGCGGAAGGACAAGAGGACGCAGAGGGAAGAACCCTGGTCCACGATGGGGCCTTGCCCACTCTGGGCCCTAGGACCAGGCAGGTCATGGTCACAGAGAGGGCGGATTGAGGGAAGGACAGCAGTGGCAACACGGCTCTTATAGAAGCCACCAAGCGAAGTAGAACTGGGGCTCAGGCCCATAAATCCCGCTCTTTGTGGAAAACAGGCATCAAGGCTGGCCCTGGCTCCTAATCCGGGACCAACATGCTGCACATCTGCCTCGTGTGCTCGATTCTCTCACCATCCCGGACTGCCTGCACCTCCCCTACGGCACTTCACTGTGCCATTCTGTGGGCTCGTGGCTCACAGGGCCACAGACCTGCACATGGGATAGCCTCCAGGTGACTAAACAGGGCCACATGCCTACTGATCTCACTCCTGTCCTTGGCCTCTTCTGACGGGAAGGCGTGGACCACCTAGGACTGTTCCTCGTGCGCCACCCTCACCTTTGGGAGCGGATGCGGTTACTGAAATGAATCTCAAAGATGGGATTAGGGCTTGCTCACAGGGGAGAGAGACATCTTGCTCTTCTGCCATGAGAAGACGCCAAGTGAAGGGTTTGTCTACAAACAGCACAAGCCCTTGCCAGACACCAAACTTCCTGGTATCTGGATTTTCTTATTTTTATGTATTTAGTAGAGAGTCTACAGGGTCTCACTACACAGATCAGACTCAGTGATCCTCCTCTTGTCACCCTCCCAAGTGCTGGGATTATAGGCGTGCGCCACCGCACCATCTCAATCACTGCCTCAGTGCGCCCCGGGGGTGGGGCCAGCACAGCTCTCCGGGGATCGAACCCCCAGCCCCTTCGTCTGCCTAAGTACGTGCTTTAGTCTGCTGAGCTATCTGGCCAGCCGGCCCTGGTATCTGGATCTTGGGCCTGACCAAGATGGCATAACACAGCCCCAGCGACCGGCAGGCAGTATGCATTAGAAAAGAGCATTTGTCAGAGTACTGTGCTGCAATCCAGAGAGAAAGCTGATGGAAGCTACCTCTAGCCCAGCACTTCCCCCAGCGCTCTACATACACCGATGGTGCTTTGTTCCTTCCTGAAAGCAAGAACAATTCCTTCTGGCCTCATCCACAGGGAGGGAAAATCGGGTTTTCATTCTAACTAGGGTGCACAGGACTGCAGAAGCCTGAGCTCGAACCGCTCGGAACCCAGGGAGCCAATCACTCGCCCCTCTGCTCTTTTTGGGAAAAGCCCAAGAATACAGAAGTATATAAAGACAAAATGACCTTCACTGGGTGGGCAGGGCACCTGCCTTTCCTCCCAGCACCCTCATGGCCCGAAGCAGAAGGACCAGAAGTTCGAGCCCAAGATGGGCAACTAAGCAAACTTGGGGAGACCTTGTCTGAAAAAAAAAGGGGGGTTGGGGACATGACTCAGGACAAAGGCTCTAGGTTCAGTCTCCAACACTGAAAACAAATAACATACGAAGTAGAACAATCCCCCACCAGCTAAGACCCCTGCCCGGAGTGCTTCTCCCACTGCCCTGGGTGCCTGGATCGGCTGGGGATCTCCTCAGGATGAAGCACGCATGGTCCTGTCCCCACCAAGCTCCCGGGCGACACCATAGGGAGAGTCCCCAGCACCCTCTCTTAATAGCAGGGCTGTAGGCAAAGGGTCCACACATAGACAGACGTTTATTGCTTGCAATACCCTAGTGAGGAGGAAAAGAAAACTCCTGGTCCCATCTGCAGAAAACCATTCTAACTGTATCCGTCTCCCCTGTGGCTGACTCAGATGTAACCGGTGTCTCGGATGTCTCGGATGGCTCGCCCTCGCAACACAACCGAGCGCCCAGCCCCGCTCCCGCTAGGACACGTCCGCTCTTACTTTTCTCCCCTTCTCGCTGTCTGGAAG